GGATACGGAGGTCGTGGAGGCTATGGATACGGAGGTCGTGGCAGCTATGGATACGGAGGTCGTGGCAGCTATGGATACGGAGGTCGTGGAGGCTATGGATACGGAGGTCGTGGAGGCTATGGATACGGAGGTCGTGGCAGCTATGGATACGGAGGTCGTGGCAGCTATGGATACGGAGGTCGTGGCAGCTATGGATACGGAGGTCGTGGCAGCTATGGATACGGAGGTCGTGGCAGCTATGGATACGGAGGTCGTGGCAGCTATGGATACGGAGGTCGTGGAGGCTATGGATACGGAGGTCGTGGAGGCTATGGATACGGAGGTCGTGGCAGCTATGGATACGGAGGTCGTGGCAGCTATGGATACGGAGGTCGTGGAGGCTATGGATACGGAGGTCGTGGAGGCTATGGATACGGAGGTCGTGGAGGCTATGGATACGGAGGTCGTGGCAGCTATGGATACGGAGGTCGTGGAGGCTATGGATACGGAGGTCGTGGCAGCTATGGATACGGAGGTCGTGGCAGCTATGGATACGGAGGTCGTGGCAGCTATGGATACGGAGGTCGTGGCAGCTATGGATACGGAGGTCGTGGCAGCTATGGATACGGAGGTCGTGGAGGCTATGGATACGGAGGTCGTGGAGGCTATGGATACGGAGGTCGTGGCAGCTATGGATACGGAGGTCGTGGCAGCTATGGATACGGAGGTCGTGGCAGCTATGGATACGGAGGTCGTGGAGGCTATGGATACGGAGGTCGTGGCAGCTATGGATACGGAGGTCGTGGCAGCTATGGATACGGAGGTCGTGGCAGCTATGGATACGGAGGTCGTGGCAGCTATGGATACGGAGGTCGTGGAGGCTATGGATACGGAGGTCGTGGCAGCTATGGATACGGAGGTCGTGGAGGCTATGGATACGGAGGTCGTGGCAGCTATGGATACGGAGGTCGTGGCAGCTATGGATACGGAGGTCGTGGAGGCTATGGATACGGAGGTCGTGGCAGCTATGGATTCGGAGGTCGTGGATATGGGGGTCGTTATGGCTATGGACGTGGCGGCTACTACGGATAATCGACCTCCTGACATCACGCTCTTCCATTTCACAACATGACAAATCACCAACTGATGTCTGTTGCTTATTGAGAACAGGTTTAAGTTCAACTGCTAAGGAAAAGTGGGTACTGTTATTTAGAATTTGATTAAGTACTAAATAAATGTGTACTGCTTTTTAGATTTATTTTATATACATACCTGTCTTTATCTATATCTGTCCATCTATATATGTGTATTTGCACATGGGTGTGTGTGTGTGTGTGTGTGTGTGTGTGTGTGGAGTGCGTTGTGTGTGTAGATGCATGAATAGTGTTTGCTGTGATCTGAATGTTGAAATAATATTTTTTTGAATTCAAAAAGTATTTATAAAAGTCGCCATCCATAGCATTTCCAAGGTTGATAGTGATAATAATCCATATATTTACATTCAAAGGTTCATGAAAGCAAACTTTGTCTGCTTAGTATTATACGCAAGGTGCTCTTTACTTGAAATATCATACGGGCATTAACCACGTAATATAAAAATATAAATTGTCGATGACAAAACATTAGGGGAAATAGGTATACATACATACACATATTTTATCTATCTTTCTATCTATATTTGTGTGTATATATATATTCGCGCGCGCGCGTGTGTGTGTGTGTGGAGTGCGTTGTGTGTGTAGATGCATGAATAGTGTTTGCTGTGATCTGAATGTTGAAATAATATTTTTTTGAATTCAAAAAGTATTTATAAAAGTCGCCATCCATAGCATTTCCAAGGTTGATAGTGATAATAATCCATATATTTACATTCAAAGGTTCATGAAAGCAAACTTTGTCTGCTTAGTATTATACGCAAGGTGCTCTTTACTTGAAATATCATACGGGCATTAACCACGTAATATAAAAATATAAATTGTCGATGACAAAACATTAGGGGAAATAGGTATACATACATACACATATTTTATCTATCTTTCTATCTATATTTGTGTGTATATATATATTCGCGCGCGCGCGTGTGTGTGTGTGTTTGTGTGTGCGTGAGCGCGTGTATGTGTGTGTGAATATATAAATGTATATATACTCACATACACAGAAACACACACACATATAAATATACATATATGCATATATGTACACATATACGTGTATATATATACATATATTCCTTTTATGTCTATATATATACACAAATACCGATATCTTTCTCTTTATATATATATACATCTATATAGATATATATACATATTAGACATGTGCATGTATATATACATTATATATATACTCTAAGTCAAAAGTCGAAAAGGACAGATAGCCGCTCAGAATGAGAAACAGAAGGGAGGCTGCATAGAAAGGAGCTACGATCCAAAACCAGATGCTATATACATATATATGTATATATATACATATGTATATGTATATATGTATACATATACCTATGTATATGTATACACACAAATACAGACGTGCATATGTATGCGTATGTGTATATATATGTATATATATAGTATGTTTATATATGTGTATATGTAAGTATATATATATATAAGTAGTGTGTGTGCGTGTTTACATATATATGTAAATAGACAGATGTAGATAGAGATATAATGTATACAATTTTATAAATTCTGGTAAATTAATAGATTCTCGTTGGCACACGGTAAAAAAATAAATAATAATAACCAGTAATATCTACGATCTACATGCACTGCGGTTTTCTTAATTACCATACGCAAATATAATGCAAATGCAAGTAGGATCATATCCTTTGAACATTATTTTTTTTAAGAAATTGTATACTCACTTATTACAGCATCACCAATATGTGTTATCATCTTAATACCATATGAATAATAAATGATTATTCTAAAATTGCACGGAAAGATATTTGAATAATATTTGAGTACTATAAATGCTGCATGACTTTTGTCTTCCCTGTCTACACGTTAATCCATACTGATTACAGTAATGTACACTTTTTGTATCCATCTGTATCTCTCTATCTACCTGCCTATAATTGTATATTTGTATGTCTACCTATCAGTCTATCTTTCCATATATATCTGTCTACCTATCATTCTGTCTATCCATCTATATCAGTATCAATATCTATATTTATCTATCTCTGGCGATCTACCCATCTATCTATCTGGCTATCAATCTCTCTATACACACACATGTGTGTGTATATATATATGTATGTATACATATACATATGCATACGTTTATGTATATACACACATATATATATGCATAGCTATGTGTGTGTGTGTGTCTGTGTGTGTGTAAAAATAGAGAGAGATAACCAGATAGATACATAGCTAGGTAGATAGCCAGAGATAGATAAATATAGATATTGGTATTGTTATAGATGGATAGGTAGACATATAAAGATGAACAAAGAGACCGATAGGTAGACAGATATATATATGGAAAGATAGACTGATATATATATATATTTGGGCACGTTGGTGTGTAAACGCGAAAGGACATATATGTAAGTGCATTCCTGATAGCGTCGTCTCAGCTGACTCCATAATATTTTGGCACACGTCATGGAAGTGCAAGCAGGAGACATCAATGCTGCTTGGTAATTATCCAGTAATCCATACCATTTTTTCCATGTATCCCTCAGTGCACAAACACGCATACAGATATGTACATACACATATAAGTATGTGTATACAGTATATACATACATATATATCTATATATTCAAATTTATACATATATATGTATATATATAATTATTTCTATGTGTGTGCGTGCGTGTGTGCGCGCGCACGTGCGTGTGTGTGTGTGCATATATATATACATGAACGTATGCGTGCGTGTGTGTGTGTGTGTGTGTGTTTGAGTGTGTGTGCATATATATACACATAAATATGGGAGTGCGTGCATGGTGGATGGGTGTTGGTATGTGTGTATGTGTGTACATGTGATTGTTGTGATGCGAATGTTAAAATATTTTTTGAATTCAAAAAGTATTTATAAAAGTCGTTCTCAAGGCTGATAGTGATAATAATCCATGCATTTACATTCAAAGGTTCACGCGAGTAAACTTATTTTGCTCAGCATTATAGGCAAGATGTGCTCCTTACTTCATATATCATACGGACATTAACCACGTTGTAACTTAAAAATATGAGTTGTCGATGGCAAAACATCAGGGAAAATAGGCATACATACATATATATTTTATCTGTCTATGTGTGTGTTTGAGTGTGAACATATATGTGTCCGCATGCGTGTGTGTGTGAGCATGTATGTGTGTGTATATGTATATATATATGCGTGTGTGTGTGTGAATATACATATATGCATGTATATACAAACTTACAAACATACATAAACACAGAAAAAACATACATACACACACATATATAGGTATATGCATATATATACACGTATAAGAATATATGTACATATATACACGTATATATACCCGCACATGTATATATATGAATATATATATAGACATACACATACATATACATACGTATATATACATATTTTGTATAAACATATTATAAGGGTAAATACATTTACTTATACATATCATATGTTATATATATTATATATGTTATATATATGATATATATTTACGCACAATTACGCTAGAATCTATTTCGTTCATGGTATATCACAGTGAAGGCAGTAGCTGCGTAACAAAGGTCCTGGAAGCTATGAAAGATAATTTATGTTCTTCGGTGCCTCCAAAAGTATGTTCATTCTCAAAATAACTGACATTCCCATTCTTAATCTGTATAGCAGAAAGTTCTGTAAAGATACAACAATTTAAAAGGAATTCTTCGAACTCTTTTTATAACATGGCATTAGTGTGACCCATGACTATGGCTTTCTCAAGGACAATACGAGAAAAAAAAAAATGGCAATGACATTCGGAATTGTCCTGTGATCTATAAAAGCTCGATTCACTCCAGTTTTTGGCCATAGTCTTGTCTGCATTCGGCCCACACTCATCTCCAAAGCAACATGAATCTGGTAAGCTGTCGGCGTTCATATGATGTTACGTTTGTAGTGTACTGTAAGGCGCTCTGTTTTAGGTCTTGTAACACCTGGAGAGGTACCTTTTGGGGCGGCTTTCTAGGAACAAATTTAATAAGGATAGTGTTTTTTTCGTAGTTTTCGTAGGTCAAATCGTATAAGGGATTAAAGGTCTTTATTTTTGACATTGCAATTAACAAACCTAGTAAAAAAAAAAAAAGGAATAATGTCGTTATGGACAGACGTTCCTGTTGCCACTTTTGTGGAGAATATTGTCATTTACACTTTTAGTCAGTGAGGCGTTTAGCCGTATCTTCATGTAAAAGTGGTTTACCTGTTTTCTGATTCAGGTTCCGATGATTCTGGCCGTAGCAGTGGCCCTAACATGCCTGGCGAGCTGGACCACCGCCATGCCTGACCCTGACCCCGTAGCTTTCCCTGACCCCGTGGCTGACGCTGACCCTCAATTTGGAGCACGTGGCTTCGGATTTGGGGGTCGTGGGGGCTATGGATACGGAGGTCGTGGAGGCTATGGATACGGAGGTCGTGGAGGCTATGGATACGGAGGTCGTGGCAGCTATGGATTCGGAGGTCGTGGATATGGATATGGGGGTCGTTATGGCTATGGACGTGGCGGCTACTACGGATAATCGACCTCCTGACATCACGCTCTTCGATTTCACATGACAAATCACCAACTGATGTCTGTTGTTTATTGAGAACAGGTTTAAGTGCAACTGCTAAGGAAAAGTGGGTACTGTTATTTAGAATTTGAATAAGTACTAAATAAATGTGTACTGCTTTTTAGATTCCTTTTATATATATACCTGCTTTTATGTATATCTGTCCATCTATATATGTACATTTGCACATGGGTGTGCACATGTGCACATGTGTGTGTTGTGTGCGTGTGTATATGCAAGTGTGGACATCTATATACATGATTTATTTCCATATACCAATTCACTGGTATATGTATTATATAGACATTTGCATGTGTATCTCTATCTCAGGATATTAGAAAGGTAGACAGGCGGATATATGCACATACGCACATACACATATACACATATTCAAATACTTGTATGCATATGTGTTTGTCTATTTATATGTGTATATATCCGTCTATCAATATATGCATACATTCATCAATATACATGTGTCCGTCTATCAATATATGCATACATTCATCAATATACATGTGTATTAGTATATATATATACTCATATTTATGTGTGTTTGCGTATGTGTGTTTTGTGTATACACATAATAAAAGAAATACATTTATACATTTGAAGTATACACATATAGAAATATATATAGATATTCCTTTTATGTCTATATATATACATACACAAACACACATACCGATATCTTTCTCTTTATATATATACATATATAGATATATATACATATGAAATATGTGTATGTATGTATATATATACTTT